AGAGAGAGAGTTCACGTTATAAACAGACTTTTGGTTAGATCCCAAGTGTACGTTTCACATACAACGTACACATGAAATGCAATGGCAATACATTATAAGAATATATACATAGGGGCAAACTATCCTCCCATTATGAGTGTAAAGCATACATGTGTACGTTGTATGTGAAACGTACACTTGGGTTGTAACCAAAAGTCTGGTTATAAAGGAATAGTAAAATTTTTTAAATATAAATTAAAACACATTACTAATTCTATTGATTTATAGGTAAAATTTAGCAATTAAAACTATACATTTAATTAATACTATAATTAAGTATAAAATCACATTTAAAGTTAAATGATGTGTGCATTAAATAGATTTTGAACAATTTGTCACAGTTTGTCAAATTTTTTATATTTAAATTCTAAATAATTCTGCTCAAAATGGTTACTACCTAAAGGGTATTTTCTGTTTGGGCACGGGTTGGTTGTATGTGTAGAGTGTGACCACTAAATGAATATTCAGTCTTTAAATCGTGCCAATGGCCGCAAAAACACTGGAGTTATAACTATATTTATTGTCATATTCTTAATTACTATGAATTGAGAAGTGATGATAACATGTGTAATTCACCAAAATATACTATGTAATACATAGTACAGTGTAGGGTATTACCGGTGTCTTTTGTTTTTGGCGCGAATTGAGTAGTGGTTAGTGTTTTCTGCAATACACTGTAAAGAAAGACATGAGTGTATTGCAGGAAACACTAACCACAACTCAATTCGCGCCAAAAACAAAAGACACCGATAATACCCTACACTGTATGTATTAATTTACAAATATTTTAAAATAATTTTCTTCACAGTTGGAAGGATTTTGTGGGCATCTGTTGGCCATACATTCAATTACGTCTGACGGCAATAGCGCGCGCCGTAATTATGCCCGATCTACTGTTTTTGGCGGTGGGCGACCACTTTAGCACTTACTGCAAACGGTCTAGTTACCACCAGGTGAAATACGCCCAGATTGTCAATAGCAAACTGGCCGAATCCAAACAATTACGCGACCGTTTCATCGGTTATTTGACAGAAATGTTTAACGAGAATAAAGTGCAGTCCGAGGACTTGAGCCAAATTATATGGTATGACAATGTTATAACTTATTTGTTACAAATAGCAAAAACCCAATTACCCTGTTTATAAACACGAGTACAAACTTATTTATGATTTAAATGTTAGTGCTTTTATTATGTGTTAATAAATATTTTAAAAATTAATTACACCTTTTAATTAAATATATCATTATGTATAGCGTTGCTCGTAAATTCTTTCGCGATGTAATTGAGCTGCATCCCGACGAAGATGGTTTCAGGGACTACGCCCGGGAGAGGCAACTTTTTTTCACAGGACAATATGAGAGAATGGAAGAGATGTACAAAGTTAGGGCCGCCCCACAGTGCGAGCCTATGAAGGAGTCCTATCCACCTGGTCAATTTAAAACTTACATGTTGGCCCTGTCCAAGATATTGATGAAATCACCCGTGAAATTTATTTCGCCTGAAATTTACCTTAAAAAAGCCATATCAATGGACCCTGGTCAACTTGCCGCTCTACCATTCATGTTACCGATCACCGATGTGGCAGCATATGTACCCCTACCTGATTCGAAACTCGCAAAACCCATCACTGATCTAGCACACAATCTGCCCATTTGGGACAAGGCTTTTGGTGGTGGTGGAGGGGGTTCACCCTTATCTAGCATACCATTTCTTGGAGGTGGTGGTGGAGGTGATAAAGGAAGTTCACCCCTGTCTAGCATACCATTCCTTGGCGGTGGTGGAGGCGGAGATAAAGGTGGTGGGTCGCCCCTGTCTAGCATACCATTCTTTGGTGGTGGTGGAGGTGGGTCACCCCTCTCATCCATCCCTGGTATGTCCGGAGGTTCACCCCTGTCGGCCATCCCTGGTATGGGTGGCGGGTCATCACCCCTGTCGGCCATCCCTGGTATGGGTGGGGGATCATCACCCCTCTCGGCCATCCCTGGTATGGGTGATGGGAAATCACCTCTCTCGTCTATCCCTGGAATGTCCGGTGGGTCACCCTTTTCATCCATCCCTGGTATGGGTGGAGGTTCGCCCTTCTCTGGCAAATCATCGGACTCTGACTCGTCTACCAAAGAATCCTATTCTGATTCGCGGTATAGAGGATCACAATCTGATTCGCCGTCCAATAGATACAACTCTGACTCACAGTCGAGAGGATACAACTCTGATTCAGAGTCCAGAAAATACAACTCTGACTCACAGTCCAGAGGTTACAACCCTGACTCACAATCCAGAGGATACAACCCTGACTCACAATCCAGAGGTTACAACTCTGACTCACAGTCCAGAGGTTACAACCCTGACTCACAATCCAGAGGATACAACCCTGACTCANATGTAACCCTTCCTTTTAACAAAACTTCCCTGTAATACAGAAAGTGAGAGATGAATTATTTTACAACAGTTAAATATTTTTAATCATTTTCTATATCCTTTGACTAATTAAACAAAATATGATACAGAATTTATGCGCTTTGTTATATTACATATAAATTCAAAATTCTTTCTAAACAAATACCCATTCTTTGCGAAATTGGCCCATATTTTCATCACATCTATACTGAAGTCATATTCAGTTTTGGTGTACAGTTTGAGAAATCCTAAGGGTTTGCCGTGAGTTAGTCAAAGTTAGTCAAAGTTAGTTAAAGTTAAACACAAAAATAGGTATAATTATTATTATTTTTTTTCTTTGAAAAAATGAATATCATTTAAAATTTGAATGTTTTACACTTATTCATTATGCAAACAGCTATGCATACATTGGACAATAATTGTAATATTGGCGCAGTTTTTGATTCATGTATTAATTAAATCAAGTAATATATCAATCGCTGTCACTATTGCATTGACTAACAGTATCACTGAATGTTTATTGGCAAACCAATAGTGACCTCACTATACAAATTATTTGTAGACTTAAATTACCATGTTTGTTGCAAAATGGAATTTAAAATCATATTTGCTAAACTCTGTAAATAATTAATTAGATCAACAGTAAGTAGTAATTTGTATAAACCATAAGTTAAATGACATAACTGTTATGCTATGTCACATAAGCATTTGTATGTACCAAACCCTGAGACCAAAATTTGAATCTCATAAACAATTGCATTAAAATTTAATGCAGTAATAATATTTTCTTTATAAATTATATAATTAATTATATGTTATATTTATATAACATATAATAATATGTAAATATAATATATTTATTTATGAAATAAAAAATTATTTAAAAATTTTTGACTAGAAAATGTGGTCACAGCGACTAAACCCGTAGTTGACTAAATGTATAAAGTATATCCACATATTGTTTGGAGAGTGCAGTTTAGTTTTATCTCAATAAATCCTGAGTGAATTTTGAGCCATATTTAGGCTTTCCTCTTTACATAACTCATTAAATACTATAATGCAAAAAATTTATAAGTTTTTATAATTAAATATTTAGTGTTAGTTGGCATAAAAGTTTGCAGTGCTAAAGGTGTTGGTATTACATCATAATAATTACATTTTAATAATGAAAGTGTATATTTTGTTGGCCATAATTGGTAAGTAAATAACTGTTCATGTTATCTAATTGTGCATAATATAATGTCTAGGTAAAAAAGTAGACCTTTTTTATATAATAAATAATTATTTTTGTTTATTACATGACTATTAGGCGCCGTTTACTGTAATACTAATCACGACATATCGGACGAGATATTTGAAAACACAGTAGAGAAGTACGAATTCCTGGGCAATGGTATCCAACAGTCGGAACAAATGGCCGAAATCATGATTGAATGTGTGATTCAGGGCAGAGCGACAATTCCCACCCGAATGTAAGTCATTGCATGTATTTTACTTCATATACAAAATGGCGTTAAATCTTATTTAATTAAATCACGACAAACAAAAAAGCATCTGTTTTAAATTAATTAAATTTTAATTGCTTCTTTATGCTAGTAATTTTAATTTAAAGTCGATGTTGACATATTATTTTAATATTTGTAATAAACTATTTACTTATAAATATTATTTAATAATGTGGAAGAGACTTAACGATTCATTAAATGGCATTGTTGAGAGAGAGATGGAGGGGAGAGAGAGAGAGAGA